CATAACCAAATTGTCGCAGGGCTAAAGAAGGGTTGTAGGTTATACCCCCTCTGATGCCAAGTAGCGGGACATTAGGGTATTCTCCGTAGCGATCAATAATGGCAGTATTTTCCATAGCTCGAGAACACCAGAGAATATCCGTATGAGCGAGCGACATTATCCTTTGCGACCAACCCAAACCTTCTTCATTTTTCAGTGTGGACTTAGGGAGGTGAGAAATAAACCACCTCGACAGCAATAACATACAACACATAAGAATCCCTCTTCTCTTCATGGTACGAGTATGGAGAGCATGCAAAATATCTTCGAGCAAAGTAGGCATCGGGTTGCGAGAGAGAGATCTTGATAGCATTCACATCTACGAATGAGCCCGGATTAGGGAATAGGATTAACCCATAGATTATAAGAGCCAAGACCTCCTCGAAAGCCTGAAAATCCGTATCATCCCAAAACAACTGGGCCTTGTTTATCAGAAACTTAGCTAGAAAACCCTTGACTCCGCTTCTTGTTTCCCAACTGGATACCACGTCGGCCCGTTTCAGGTGCAAAGCTAAGGCAATGACTTCTGGCTTAGGAGTTTCTTCTAAACCTATAAAGGGTAACTACTCAAGAATGGGTATATCCAATAGCTGAGAGAATTCTTCCAAGGTAGGTACCAACTGATAGTCTGGAAAGGTGAAGCAATGGTGCTTGGGATCAAAGAACTGAAAAAGCACACTCATCATCTTTTCATCAAAGTTTGAAGTAACCAGGTCGAGAAGTCGACCATGTCTCTTGGTGAACGCAGAAGTTTCAGAAACCCTTGATACTAGCTCTTTGAGTTGGGAAGGTATCTTCACAAAGCTGATTCAGATAGTGTTTCTACGGACAAAAGCCATGATCTGCAAAACAGGGTAAAGATAAATTCCCTTGGTCTTCGAAATGGTTAGTGCAATAAGAATGGATTCTATGTTATGATGCATGATGTCATGATAAAACATAGGTATAGAAAACACATGTATAGCAAGCACATTCAAATCACACAAAGCCCTTAGGTTTAAGGCTTGCATGAGGTCAAAGGTAGTACCCTCTTGAAGTTAGTTGGTTTCAAACCTGTCTTAGAAATAGTAATCGGGTTCTAGAGGATCTCAATATCACTGGCCATCATTTATCGCCATTGTCTCAGCTCTCGCAATCTTTTCTTGCGGCCGAAATATCCCGAAAGTCTGATCTCAATGAGTGTAGCATCGAGTATCAACCAGTTCTCAGCTCTACACTGAGGCCGACTATCTCACTACTTTCTAATGGCCAAGTTGGGAAATTAAAGGTTCTAAGGTTAGTTGATGCTTCACGACACCACGCGGCGGCCCCGTACTCTCCCTGATTGACTCAAGGGTTACCGGTACCAACCAAAGTGCCACATCAACGTAGCTACTGCTTCAACCATGCCGGTATACCCCAACATAGTTCCCTCACAGTTTATTGCTACTTACCTAAAAGGTGTTCCCCAAATCTGGGTGTAGGATCAAATAACCCAAACAGTTCCCATAAATATAAAGCAAGCAAGACAATCAAGAGAAAGCAATTATATATGACCTAGATCCTAAGGTTTACCCCACTTTAACTTCTCCCCAGCAGAGTCGCCAGCTCTATGATACGGTGGCAGAACCGACTATTATACTAGTTTGCGTTTCGCGTTTTGTGTTTGCAAAATGTCGCGGTAAGTAAGAGTCACCACCGACTTTTATTTTATCCAATCAAAGGAAAAGGAAAAAGAACAAAAAAAAACCTTTTTCGATATGTTTTTGAGTACGGGGGGGGGGGGGGGGGGTAGATTATAGAAAGGGAAGGTGTTAGCACCATTCCTATCCGTAGTTATCTATGAGCTCTTAGGTACTTGCTCATTTTTCAAATTGCTTGTGTGTGTTTGTCTTGAAAATGCTTTTACTTCGTAATAACCCTTGTATCAGTCCTCAAGGATGTGACAAAGTTGTTTTGAAAATTTGTTTTGAAAGGTGTTTGTGTGAAAAGTTTTTATTGAGCAAGTACTTAAGATTCTACCTACTCGAAAAAAGGATTGTTCATTCTATTTCCTTTAGACAATGCTATCCCACTATTAAGGAGTAGGTAGCATCGTCGTTGGAGTTGTAAGGGACATTCGAAAGGGACAAGTACAATCACTAAAGCAATAGTTAGAAAAACTTTAGTAGCAACCCTAGAGTCTTAAGATCTTTCCGAGGCAACATTTCCGAGGAAACATTTCCGAGGCAGCATTCGAATGGGACAATTTGATCTCTTTAGACTGGAGGGCAACCACTAAAATCTCCTATGCTTAATGATTATTTACCGAAGGCAACCGAAGTGAGGCAAACACTAGGAGTGAACATGTGCGAGTGATTCGTTTCAGTTATTTTAATCTTTGCACATTAGGGTTTTTCTAATTGTTTTAATTTTTCATGCATTCTTGTCATATAATCCTATTAATCATACATCTAGACAGTTAATAATTTGCTGAATAGTAAAAGCGGAAATAAACCTAGCTATTACATGGCTTTGACAGTTACACAATTGCCTTGACGTGAAATAAAAAAATGCGGAATTTAAAATCCTAATTAAACTATTACAACCTTGAAACAATTACAATAATTTGAATTAAAAGAGAGTCAAGGCGCGCGCGACGAATTACATACGAGAATAAAGTATGAGTCCTAAAAAATCTAATCAATTAAAGAAGAAATATTTTTTGATTTTATTGTTGCGAAAAATATTTGAAATTTTAACCTGATTTGTCTAATTAATTTTAATTATAAAAAAAGAATTTGAATTAATCTAATTAAGCTAATTAATTAATTGCAATTAAATATTTTTATGAAAAAAACTAAAATCTAATTTTTTAGTGATTTTCTGATTTTGTGATTAAAAAAATGATTTTTGTTGTGAAAATAATTAAAAATAACCAATAAAAAAGAATTTAAAAAAAGAGAGAAAGATTTGGGCCTGAAGTGA